CATAGAGAAATTAAAGGAGCCCTGACAGTACAGTGGTTAAGCACTTGGCTGCTAACTGAAAGGTACACAGTATGAACCCACCAGCCGCTCCGCAGGAGAAAGATGTGACAAGTCTGCTTCAGCAAAGATTACAGACTTAGAGCTCTATAGGATAGTTCTACTCTCTCCTACAGGGTTGCTATGAGTCAGAATTGACTTAACGGCAATGGGTTTGGGATTTTATGAGTATAGAAATAAAAAGGATTAAAAAGGAATACTATGAACACTCGTAAATCAACAAATTGAACAACCTAGATAACATGGACAATTCTTAGATTCTTAGAAGCACCAAAACCCAACCAAACCCACTGCTGTCGAGTCAATTACAATTCATAGCAACCCTGCAGCAGAGTTAGAACTGCCCCATAGGGTTTCCAAGGCTGTGATTTTTTTTAACAGCTCTCTTCCCACTTCCTTCCTATGGTTGGTTATCTTTTCTTTCCTATGTATTCCTGCCTTCTGAGATTTCTCTCTGTGCAAATGTTGCCCTTCTGATCTCCTATGGTTGATTGTTCCCATACCTCTGGTGTAACTGATCACCTCATAGGCCTGTCTATTGTTTGGCTGAAAATTAAGGCACAGGAGTAAGCTCAATTTCAGGCCTGAAGTGTGACTAGGGACCACAGTCTAAGGGGTTTCTCTAATCTATATCAAACCAGTAAGCCTGGTCTATTTTTTATGATTTTGAGTTCTGTTCCACATTTTTCTTCCATTCTGTCCAGGATCCAATTTTGAGCCCTTTCTGAGTGGTTGGCAGTGGTATCCAGGTAACATCTAGTTCTTCTGATCTCAGAGTCATATAGGCTGAAGTTCCCATGGTCTACTAGTCCTTGGGACTAAGTGTTTCCGTGTGTCTTTAATTTTCTTCACTCTTCTTTGCTCCAGACGAGACGACTAAAAATTGCATCTTGGATGCAAGGCTGTAATGTTTACAGAAGCAGACTGCCACACTTTCTCCCATGGAGCAGCTGGTGGGTTCAAACCTCTGACCTTTCAGTTAGCAGCTGAGTACTTAACCACTGTGCCACAGGGCTTCTTTCTAAAAGCATGCAAACTACCAAAACTAACCCAAAAAGAAACTGAAAATCTGAATAGGTCTTTAACAAATATGAAGTTTGAATCAGTAGTGAAAAGCCACTCAACAAGAAGCCCAGGACTAGATGGCTTCACTAAGGAATTCTACCAAACATTTAAAGAAAAACTTAGCATTAATTCTTCTCACTCTTCCAAAAAACAGAAAAGGAGGGAATATTTGCTCACTTATTCTATGAGGCCATCATTACCTTGATACCAAAGAAGCTATTGGCCAATATCCCCTATGAATATGATGCAAAAATCCTTGACAAAATACTAGCAATCCTAATTCAGCAGCAGATTAAATGGATCATGCTCAACTAGGATTTATCAAATATATGCAAATGTGCTTCAACACATGAAAATCAATCAATGTCATATATAACATTAATAGAATGAAGGAGAAAAAAATGCACCATTTCAATTGATGCAGAAAAAGCATTTGACAAAATCTAACACTCTTTCATAATGAAAACAAAAAAATTAGGCATAGGAAATTTCCTCAATATGATCAGCTAACATACTCATTGGTAAAACACTGAAAGCTTTTTCCCTATGATTAAATTGTCTTAGGAACAAGACAAAGATGCCCATTTTCACCATGTCTATTCAATATAGTACTGGAAATTATAGCTAGCCAAAGCAATTCAACCAGAAAAAGAAATAAAAGGCATCCAAATGGAAAAGAAAAACATAAAATTATCTGTTTTGCAAATAACATAATCTCAATATGTAGGAAACCTTACAGAATCCACACACGCATACACACACACACAAACTGTTAGGGCTAATAAATGAATTCATCAGAGTTGTAGGATACAAAGCCAACATATCAACATGTAAAAATCGACTGTATTTCTAAAAAAAATCAATTATAATTTCTATACATGGAGCTCTGGTAGCATAGTGGCTAAGACACTTGCCTGCTAACCAGACGGCTGGCGGTTCAAACCCACCAGCCACTCCCTGGAAGGAAGGTTGGGCAATCCTACTTCCGTACTGATACTGCCTCGGAAACCCAAGGAGGGGTGACTCGATGGCACATAACAACAACAACAACGTACGTTGGCAATGAGCAAACCAAAGAAGAAAATTTCATTTACAATAGCATTCACAGAAATAAAATAATTAGGAATAAATCTAACCAAAAAAGTGAAAGACTTGTATACAGAAAACAAGCTGAAGAAATTAAAGATGACCTAAACTAAATGGAAAGACATCCCATGCTCATAGATTAGAAAACTTAATATTGTTAAGATGATAATATCACCCAAAGTGATACACATTTTTCACAGAAATGAAAAAAACTCATCCTAAAATTATGGAATTTAAAGGAACTCTGAATAGCAAAAACAATATTGAAAAGAACAAAGTTGGAGATGCTCACTTCCTGATTTCAAAACTTAATACAAAGCTACGGTAATCAAAATAATGTGGTACTGGCGTAATGACAGACATATAGATCAATGGAAGAGAATAGAGAGCCCAGAAATAAACCCTCATATATGTGGTCAATTCCTTTTTAACAAGGGTGCCAAGACTATTCAATAGGAGAGGATAGTCTTATCAAGAAATGGGCTGGGAAAACTGAATATCCACATGCAGAGGAAGGAAGTTGGATCCTTATCTTAAACAATATATTTAAAAAATGGATCAAAGACCTAAATCTGAGAGATAAAATTATAAAACTCTTAGAAGACACTTCCCACTAGGATAGCTATTATAAAAAATGGAAGGTAACAAGCATTGGTGAGGATATGGAGAAACTGGAATCCTTGTCCATGTTAAATGGTTCATGCTGTGGAAAAATTTGGCAGTGTCTTAGTTTGCTAGTACTGATATAACAAAAATACCACAAATGGGTGACTTTAACGAACAGAAATTTACCTTTTCATGGTTTAGGAGGCTAGAGCTCAGGTTACTGGTTCTAGGGAAAGGATCTCTCTGTTCACTCTGGGGGAAAATCTTTGCTTCAGCATCTCTAGTGGGCAATCCTTGCAGCTCATGGGCTTGTAGACTAGTCTGCTTCGATCTTCAGATAGCGTCTGAAGTCTTTCTGTTGTTATTTGCCTGCTTATTCCTCTCTGTGTCTATGCTGCTCTTTTTTGTTTGTTTGTTTTTCATTTGTATTGTGATTTGGGTGAAAGTTTACAGAGCAAATTCATTTTTCATATAGCAGTTCATACACATTTTGTTTCATGACATTGACTGCAATCCCCACAATGGAACAGCTCTCTTCCCACTTCCTCTCTGTCATTACCTCTTCCCTATGCTCTTCTTTCCTATACATTCCTGCCCTGAGATTTCTCCTTGTGCAAATACTGGCCTTCTGAGCTCCCGTGGTTGATTGTTCTAAGGAGTGTATCTACCTGGTGTAAATGTTTATGTTGCTGTTTATATCACTCAGGAATAATAGGTTTAGGATACATTCTATACTGATACGACCTCATTAACATAATACAGAAAACTTTTTCCCAAATGAGATTACATCCACAGGCATAAGTTATGATTCCAACACATATTTTTTGGGGAGATTTTCAATCCCTAACAGGTGGTTCCTCAAAAAGTTAAACTTTATGATCCCAAATGTGGAAACAACCCAAATGTCCATCAACAGATGGACAGACAAAATGTGTGTGTGTATATACACACACATATGGAATATTATTTAGCCATAAAAAAGAATGAATTTTTTTTTTTAAAAAAAAAGAAAGAATGAAATTCTGATACATGCTACAATATGGATTAACCCTGAAGACATTATGCTAAGTGAAATAAGCCAAACACAAAAGGACAGATATTGTATGATTCCACTTCTATGAATAATTTAGAATAGGCAAATTCATAGAGATAGAAAGTGGATTAGAGATTACCATTAGGTGGGGGGAGGGGGCAATGGGAAGTTATTGTTTAATGAATATAAAGTTTCTGTTTTGGATGACAAAAAATCCAGAAATGGATGTTGTTGTTGTTGTTATGTACTGTCGAGTCGGACTGACTCACAGTCACCCCTCCTTGGGTTTCTGAGGCAACATCACTACAGAAGTAGATTGCCCAACCTTCCTTCCGAGGAGTGGCTGGTGGGTTTGAACCACCAGCCTTCTGGTTAGCAGTCAAGTGCCTTAGGCACTACGCTACCAGAGCTCCTACCAGAAATGGATAGTAGTGATAATTACAAAATATTATGAATGCGTATATACTTAACACTACTGAATTATACACTTAAAGAGTGGTTAAAATGAACAACTTTGTTATATGTATTTTAACACACACAAAAAAAAATGTGTTTATAGCAAGGGGTGGCTGCTGGTCTCAGCCCATAGCAGTGTACAAAGATTGTTTTTGATGTTTAAAATTTCATATTTAGACAGAACTCCTTCTGAAAGCTAGGAGACTACAACTAGAAACAAGCAGAGCACATCCTTGCTTCTTCTTGATTTGTAGGAGGCTCTACTTCCAAAATACCTTCTCTGTTCCCTTTGTTGGATTTTTCTGTTCCTGATGGTTACCATTAGAAGATTGCAGATTCCACTATTTGACATTCATTCCTTTGGACATACTCCTTATGTAAAATACAAAGAAGAGCCTACAGGAAATATTCATGAGGGTCTATCAGATCAATAGAGCTGAAGCAAAGTTCTGAGGGAGAGAAGCAGCCTGATGAAATGGTGTTTGTGGTTGGTGGGGGAAAGTAGAATGCTTAGGACTAACCTCCTCGTACTCAGCGTTTGCCCTGAAGCTGTGTGTCATCAGCCTAGATCTCTCTAGGCTACAGGGCATCCTCCCTTCCCCAAGCATCTAAGGCTGGGGAGGGGAGACACCAGGTAGAGGCAGTCCTACCTTCCTACCCAGGCTGGGACTAAACTGTTGGATTTGTCTCCTTTCAGGTGGTCTGGGCCAAGTCAGATCGGATAGGCTGTGACTCTCACTTGTGTACTAAGCTCCAGAACGTTGATGATTCCAATGTCCACTTTCTAGTCTGCAACTATGCGCCCCCGTGAGTGCTATGCTGTGTCGTGCTGTGGCAGCGAGCCAAGGGGACAAGGGTGGGCATAACCTAGGGGAGAGCTGAGGACAGACCCTAAGGTACCAGGAGGGAGCTATCTGGTGCTTAAACCGCTGGTGTCGGGGTGGGTCTGCTCTCACTGGCCTGAGAGGACCATGAGAAACCCTGGGTCACTCCAGCAAGTTAAAGGCAGGCAGGCAGGTGACACAGGGCTCTCTGGGATCCTCCCAGTCTAGGTGTGTGAAGGAGGGTGGAGGTACAAGCAAACACATTCTCCTAGCACCCTCCTTGCCTCCTGCAGGGGAAACGTGCGGAGGCAGAAGCTCTACGAGGTGGGGCCACCATGCTCCGCGTGCCCCAAGGGCTACCATTGTGAGCAGAACCTCTGTGGTGAGTCGTGGGGAGGAAGAGGGCAAGGATGCCAGCTGGGCAATGTTGAACCTCGCCGGGCTCCCCAGCAATGCGTGGACAGTGGAGGGGCTGGGTGTGATGTGACTACCCAGTACCCTCGGCCACCCCACCCCACCCCAGAAGAGCTCCCCAGCCACCTTTGTTCTCCTTTGAGCAGCCACTTTGGTGCCATTATTCAAATTAACAGAATTTCAACCCTTCACAGGAAGCATGTCTGCTAAGTCCCAAGTTCTCGAGCTGTGGGCATGAGCACTGTGTGGGGGGCACGAGGTGGGCGTGGTCCAAAGGAAAGGTGGGTGGAGCCAGGTTGGTGGACACAGTCAGGGGGATGACGGGACAGGGTCAAGGCCTGCAATGTGGTGGATGTGTTAAGAACAGGAATTCAGCTGGAGAAGTCCTGGTGGTTGAAGGAGCAACTATGCCAATAACAACAAATAGACTTTATTATCAATGAAAGATGTATTTGCTAGAGAGGGTGTGTGGATGTGTATTTATGTGTCTCCGTAGGCCATTTGGTCGCCTCACTTTGGTTGCAGTAGGTGAGTGATGTGGGGTCCCACTTGCAGCACTAATGCCAGACTTGTCTATCTTATCAGAACCCATCACAGGTCCGGAAGAGCCTCAGGATTTGCCTTGCCTGGTGACTGAGGCCCAGACCTCCCTGGCAACTGAAGCCTTAGGCTCTAGTAAAACTGATGCCCCTTCTTCCCTAACAACTGAGGCTCCATTCTTCTTGGTAACAGAGATCCCAGCTTCCCTACCAACCAAGGCTCTGCCTACTGTACAAACAGAGACCCGATCTTCCTTAACAACGAAAGATTCCCTCTCTATAGCAGCAGAGTCCCCACTTTCTTTAACTGAAGTTCCTTCCTTTCTGGCAACTCACAGCCTGTTCTCCTTGGATAAAAGGCCAATTACCTCCCCCAAATCCACCTATGCACCCCTCCCTGAGTTAGCAGACAAAACGAGCAAGAGAAGCACTCCCACTATGAGTTCAGAGATATCTTTGGACCCCAAGATGTCCCTGACAAGGAAACAGAAGCCCCTATCCCATGCCCAGGAGAAGGTTGAGGCAAGAGGTCCCCATGAGTTGCCTCTTCCCGGTGAGGTCTTAGCCTCAGTTTTACCAGCCCAAGATGAGCCAGATGAGCTGCAGACCACACTTGTCCACATGGGGCACACCACCTCCAGGTCCCTGCCCAACTCCCCCAACACCTCTGCCACTGCTAATGCTATAGGGGGGCGTACCTCAGCCCTGCAGTCATCCTTGCCAGGTAAGGCCTGTGTTGTCGGCTCTTCCCCATCCTCCTGGCTCCAGCATGCCAGTACCCTGTCCCCAGCATGGACTGCACGGGCTTGGCGGGAGCTTGCACCCTCTGAGTAGGGGCCTACCTGCTGGCTGCTGTCCCCCCTTGCACGACTGGTGAGGTGGGTGAGAGATCAGGCATAGCTGTCTCCAGGCTAAGACACCTCCCTTACCCGCAGCTGCAGATCTGCCTGGAGAGTCTGTCACCGAGTCAGGCCTGAACCCGAACCCAACAGGACCAAACCCAGCAGGGCCCAGTCCAGCGGGACCCAACCCCAACCCGGCAAAACCCAATCCGACGAAGCCCAATCCGGCGAGGCCCAATCCGGCGGGGCCCAACCCAGCGAAACCCAATCCGGCGAAGCCCAACCCGGCGGGGCCCAACCCGGCGAAGCCCAATCCGGCGGGGCCCAACCCGGCCAAGCCCAATCCTGCGGGCCCCAACCAGGGAAAGCCAAACCCAGCTGCGGGACCCAACACTCCGGAGCTGCCTAGCCCTGCGGGGCCGAGCCCGGCGGGGCCAAACTGGGCAGAGCAGAACCCAGCGAAGCCAAGCCTAGAAGGGCCGAGCCCCGCAGAGCCGAGCTTGGAAGAACTGGAAGAGTCAAACCCGGCAGAAACAGAAGAGCTGAACCCAGAAGAGGTAGAATTGCCGGAGCAGGAAGAGCCGAACGTGGAAGAAACGAACGGGGAAGAGCCGAACGCGGAAGAGCCGAACGCGGAACAGCCGAACGCGGAACAACCGAACGCAGAACATCCCAACGTAGAAGAGCCGAACGCGGAAGAACCGAACGCGGAACATCCCAGCGTAGAAGAGCCGAACGCGGAAGACCCCAACGCGGAAGACCCCAACGCGGAAGAGCCGAACGCAGAAGAACAGCAGAAACCCACAGGGCCTACACCCACAAGGCCTACAAAGTGGAAACCCACGAAGACAATGATACACATAAAGCCAAAACCCTCAAGGTTTAACTCGGCCTCTGATTGTGTCTGGAATCCCCTCCTGAGATTGCTGGTACTGCTTCCCCTGGTGGTGTCTGGACTCTTCTGAAGGACCTCCCATTCAAAGGCAAGGCCTGGTGAGGGAACTCAGGTCTCACACCTACTCTGGATTGCCTTATCCTCAAAATGAGAGGCCACAGCTCTCTGGGTAGGCCCTGCCTTTGGCCCAACAGCCCTCCTTCATCCCAGCTTCTGCCTAGACCCCAAGCCAGCTTCCTCATCTCCTCAGGAGGACTTTGCAGGGCCAGTCTCTGGCAGCATTACCCCATGACTTCCCTGCTCCCTTGCTTCTGCCTCTGAGAAGCCAACCTCTCAGCTGGCTGCAGACTGTTCTGAGAGTATTTGTATGGCCACATGTGACCTTTCTCCAGTTGTCCCTGTGGCCATAGGCCTGCTCTCCCAGAGACAGAGGATCTCAGGGCTTCCGAGGAACTCCTTGCCCTTCCCAGTCCCCTAGCTGCTTCCTCCAAAACTGCTGCCAGGAGTGCCTCTGCTTTCCCAGGTGAAGAGGTCAACTGCCCTTCTGCCGTCTCTCGCACCCTGTCCTTAGTCTCCCAAACAAGGTGCTTCTCAGGTGAAAGCTCTCTGGAAGGGAAAAGCTGCAGGGCATGTGCCTCATCCACAGAGATCCTGGGGACATAAGGCCAGGCTGGCTGTGAGCTCTGGGAGCAACTGGGTGACTGTACACCTGGCCTGGACCTGTTCTGCCCCGCCCACCTCAGTCCTATTGGGGCGGGGGATTCAGTAGATAGCCCTGCCTATCCGGCCCTGGGGCTGCTTGCCTACACAGGGCAGGGGCTCAGTGCCCTTTCCCCCTATGCACCTGTGTAGCTGGGAAAGGGAACAGGTAAGGGGCAGATGAAGGACAAGCCCCTCCTGAATGGGGTTCTGTGGGTGGGGAAGGTAGGCACCAGGGAAGGGAAGCCACCCCTGACTCCTGAATAAAAGCCTATCTAAGGGTATCTAGAGTCTCAGTGCTTGTGAGGGGTGGCAGGCAAAGGAGGGATCTTTGGGAGGCCCCGAAGAGACTCAACTCTTCCCTAACAACCTATGACAACCATTCCTTCTTCACAACCCCACTCCCAAACACACCTCCTAAGGGTACCCTTCCTTTCTATAAACTGCTCCCCTCACCCAAATCTTCAGGCTCCCTCACTTTCCACATACCCGTGGGGTGGGGTGAGGGGAGGCCAGGCAGGGCACAGGGCTGACTCCCCAGCTTCAGGAGTCACCAGTGGGGCAAGGCACTTTCGGGGCCCAGGATCAAGGTATGACATACCACCTCCTCATAGAGGTGTCCCTGCCCAGGCCACCTGGGAAGCAGTGAGAAATGAATCTTAGGCATGGCTTAGCCAACTCTAGCGATTGAAGAGTTTGGAGAAAGGGTTCTGGAGTCTCAGCCCTCCCCCAGAGGTCTACAGCAGACTTATCCAGGAATGCTGTGGGACAGGAATGCACAAACGGAATAGGGAGAAGAAGCAATGACAGGGAGGCTTGGGACCAAGGTGGGGAAGGGCATGGCAACTGTCTCCAGGCTAAAGCAGGAAGGTAAGCAGTGAAACAGGAAACCATACAAGTCAGGCCAGGCCTGCATCCTGACCTGGTAACCAAGATGGTCACTCCTCTCTCTCCTCACCTCAAGAATTTATTTGCTTGATCAGTAATGGTCCTGGCAAAAATTAGCAAACATTGAGACATTTGTAAATGAAATACTGATTTTAAAAATCCATGACACCTTGACAGAAATTAGATTTATGCAAACAAAATAATAGTGGATATTGCCAGCAAATACAAAATGAATGAATGTACTATGACAGAGCAGTAAGAAATCCTTTGTACTTTTGACACCTGACTATATATATATATATATATATATATATATTCAGTCATAATATCTTCTCTCCAGATTTTTTTAAAAATAATATGTTGATTTCTGTAAGAAAGTACTTTTTCCTGTAGAAAAATCAAATGAGGGCCAGTAAGTCACAACCGTACAATAGGCAGAGGATGGAAAATCACACCAAACAATCCTGAAAATATATAATAACCAGGAGGAGGAGCAGATACAGCAGTCTTGTAGGGTTTGTTTTCATCACCTTGAGTGTATGGGGTTTTCATAGCCATGAGATCTTGACCTATCTCATCTCATGAATGCCATTTATTTTTACAGAGTACCACTTATGTTTTTGGTGTTAAAATAATCCAAGGTCTTGAAGTAACCCATATGTTTTCTTCTAAGAGTTTTATAGTTTTAATCTCAGTCTTGGTCTTTGATTCATTTTGAGTGAATTTTTGCATGAGGTATGAGGTAGAGGTCCACCTTTATTCTTTTGCATGTGGATATCCAGTTGTCCTAGCACCATTTGTTGGAAGAGGATTCTTTCCCATTTAATTGACTGGGTACATTTGTCAAAAATCAACTGACCATAAATGTGAAGATTTGTTTTTGGACTCTCAATTCTATTTCATTGATTTGTATATCATGTATCAGTACCACATTTTCTTGATTACTGTTGTTGTTAGGTGCTGGTGAGTCAGTTCTGCAGTGAAACACTGCCTGGCCCTGTGCCATCCATACAATCATTGCTTTGTTTGAGTTCATCATTGCAACCACTGTGTCAATCCTTCTCCTTGAGGGTCTTAAATCTTTTTCACTGACCCTCTAACAAGCATGATATCCTCAAGGGAATGGTCACTCCTGATAACATGTCCAAAATGCATGAGACAAAGTCTCAACATTTTGCTTCTTAGGAGCATTCTGGTTGTACTTCATTCAAGACAGATTGGTTCTTTCTTCTGGCAGACAAGTATGTTCAATATTTTACATTGAAACCATAATTCAAATGCATCAATTCTTCGGTTTTCTTTATTCATTGTTCAGCATTCTCAAGAATATGAGGCGATTGAAAATACTGTGTCTTGGGTCAGGTGCACCGTAGTCTTAAAAGTTACTGCAGGTCTGTGACTAAGTTTTCAAATTGGAAGGTATGAGCACTCCAACTTTGCTCCTTTTTCAAGATGTGTTAACTATGCTGGGTTCCTTGCATTCCATATGAACTTTAGGATTGTTAGTTTCTGCAAAGAAGCCAGCTGGAATCTTGATTGCATTTGAAATCTGCCATCTTAACAATACTGTCTTACAATCCATGATTATGAGATGTCTTTCCATTTATTTAGGTCTTATTTAATTCTCCCATTAATGTTTTATAGCTTCCATAGTACAGTTTGTTTGTTTGTTTGTTTGTTTGTTTCATTTGGGTGAAGATTTACGAGCAAATTCACTTTCCATACAGCAGTTCACATATACTTTGTCTCAGGTCATTGACCACAGTTTACCACAATGCAACAGCTCCCCTCTTACTTCCTCCCCATAGTTACCTCTTCCTGGTGACCATCCCTCCATACTCTCCTGCCCCCTGAGCTGTCTCCCTGTGCATAAGCAGCCCTTCCTTCTCCCATGATTGTTCTCTCCAGGGC